AAATTCAATGTGACGGTAACAACTTGAGAAACGATTTTCAACAAGACAATCCTTCATCAGCGTTAGATTTCTTCTTCCCTGAAGCAAATAGTTGAACTATGTTATATATAGTTTACATATTCTGCGAAATGTGTAACGTTAAAAATTCTGCTTTGACATATGATTCAGCAAGTTTTATTTAAAATATAATGAAGTATCGCAGAGTAAAAACTAAATACATATGCATGAGACAAATTTGAGGAAGGAATTTGGTATTTAGAGTAGTGCTTTGAATTATTTCATCTTCAGACAAAATGAAAATACATCGATAATGTTTCAACAAATAATTACTCTCACTTCGATGAATATTTTTCTGAGATTATTATTTTCGAGGGACTGAAATATTAAAAAAGACGAACTCATCATAGTTATGAATCAATAATTGAAGTACCATTTTGAAGCTTGATTATTTGAACTTTAGAGTGTATATGTACGAGTCAAAGTATTGCCTTGAGGGTGTGGGTGTGGATATGAAGAACAGAATACCCACACCAACATGCACACCCACACCCGCATCCACCCCACACCCACACTCACACCCCACACCGACACGCCACACCCACACCCTGTGCATCAATAGTGCTTGCACTGCTATGAATCTTGTAGAGTACTTCTCGATCTTGTTCGCATACAAAATAGTTATTTCTTTTCTTAGTCAGTGTGATTTATCTCATAAGCAGAACAATAAAAAAATTAATCATCTTCATAAGCATATTGAATAGAAAATCGTTGCACACGATTATTATTTCGATCTACAATATATAGATTATTATATCGATCGAAGGACAAACCCCTTAGAATATTGAACTGATTTGATCCTATTCCTGGGCCATTTCCACCAACAATCACAGTACCCTGTTTCGCTCCTTTAGTCCAGCGCACAACTCGATTGTTTCCTGCGTCTGCGATATAGAGAGTACCTAACATATCGACGAACAGTCCACAAGGACTTGACAATTGTGTCAAAGCATTCCCAGCGTTTTGACCACCAGCAACTACACTTCCTTCTGTTGCACCTTTACGCCATTTCATCACCCGATGGTTGAAGTTGTCCGACACGTAGACAGTTTGTTGTCTATCGACAAAGAGATAGTTCGGATTATGGAGTTGATTGAAACCAGTACCGTTGCCATAGCCACCCGCCACGACAACTCCATCCTTGTTTCCTATTTGATATCGTCTTACTTCACCTTTTTCGATATCACATATATAGAGATAGCGCTGATCATCCAAGGCCAATCCTGCACAATGGATATTGTCGACTAGAATTTCAGCTTGAGTCGTGTCGTTACGACGAGACCATCGTAAGACTCGTCTATTCCTTTCATCACAGATAATCAGACTATTTGTCCCTTTATCAATCAACACACGGTTCGGATGATACAGTTGATCCAATCGGTTTCCTTCTCCATGACTGCCAGCAATCACTCGTCCATTGGTATCATTACTTTTCCATTGGATGATACGATTATTCTGCATATCAGCAATGACCATCGTTTGATCATCATCGACAGATAAGTCTTGAGGCCAATAGAGTTGATTGCTGGCATTGCCTTCTCTGTGACCTCCAGCCACAGTTATTGCATTCTGTGTCCATCGGGCATCAGCTGGAATATTAGGAATACCTACAGTAAATAAAGAATATAAAGAAGGCGCCATTGCTATTACCTATGAAGACATTCCACACACACACTTTGTCTTCTGTGGAGTAGAAAGTATTGCTTATGAAACATTCGTCCTCGTTGAAAAGAATCTGATACAATTGTCAAGAATCCTCTTTCCTTGAGATAGTCTAGATTACGGCAAGAAAATACTTATGAGGTATATAGGAAATGTTTTCATTTTTGACAAAAATGAAAATCCAGCTCATTCAATGAGAAATCCTCGTAGACGAATCTATAAAAATCTGCGTGTTCAAGTCCTGTGCTGAAACTCTTACAAATGTAATTTGTCGGAAACAAAAGGTAACTTAAAAGAAATCTTTTTTAGACTTCTAATTACATCGAACTAAGAATTTGAAATAACAATTCGAGTACTTTATAGAAAAAGAGACCGTTACAATTAGAAGCTTGTAGAAGATGAAATGGTCTTAAGAAACTCAGAAAAGCAGAATCTTACCTACATGGACAGTAGCATTTCCAACTGAGATTAGCATGTTACAGGCAAGTTCTGTAAGGAATGCATCGTATCGCAATTGAATAAACTTCTGGGGATTTTATTCTCGGGACCTATTTGTACTAAAAACTGGACATTTTGCTTACATTAGTAGGAATCGCCATTCATGAACAAGGGTGTGGATGTAGTAATAGAGATGTCCATAATCCACACCCACATACTTCGCTCGTTTGAAATCCAACGTGTTACAAGATGTCGTCTTTTTAAGTCTTCCTACTATAGTCACCAGTTAGCTCAATGACTATTGACGCCTATTTACTCTATGAGCACAAGGTAAATCTCACGTTGTTCATATTGAGCTCTAATAAGAGCACGCGGTAACCGAAAATAATAATACTTTCTCCAAACAAAATCCTGATTACATTCTCTCAGTGCATATTGTTGTTCAGTTAGATGTTGGAATCCCACAAAGCCAATCGGCTGGTATCAATAAAAGAGTTGAAGCGAAATCAGCCGATTGATATAAATTAGGGCAAAAAAGTGCTTTGCCAGGAAAAAAAGAAGTTCAATTAAATATTCTATTCTTCAAGTGATTAATTGTATGTCTTACGTTGTGGACACAGTTCTGATGTGATCATTGACAATGGATAGCAAACAGGAAGATTATGACAATCTGGGTGATTTACACAAATATGAGCAAGTTGATAGCATGCATTGTTATGAGCTGTGCACGTCATCAACTGAGAACAGGAGACATTCAGAAGCGCACAAATACCAGAACTGAAAGAAGGTACAAAGTGTAAACAGCCGCAAGTCGGGTTCGTCGAGCACGGATCATATTGAGACACGTTATAACATGTTGGCAATGCCCCTCGCACTATTTGCAAACAATACTAGTTATTTTTTGAAATATGCGCAAAATATAATGATGATACCTGAGATACTAAAATAAAAAATATTCTGAAATAATAGGATCTGTTAAAAAGAAAAATATTCCGATTACCTGAGGATAAGAAACACTAAACGTTGTGCTGTCATCAGCTTTGCTGTCCCAAAGCAGTGTGAAAGCAGACAATTGTTAATGATGTTTAATTCATGTCATGTGTTCTCTTTCTCACATCGGCTACTCTCATATTACTGTTTTTACACCGTCTGTAGTCAGAATTTTGCATCGTTTGAATAATAGTGTGAGATAAGCATGGGTGCGAAAAAAAAGGATTCTTGTCCCCACACCACAACCATGCTAGTCCCACCAACATCAATATTCACACCCACAATTGAGTTATAATAAAATGCAAAATAAACTTGTGAAAAATAAACAGGGGCCAATGCTGATTATCGGACTAATAAAATCAGGCTGATCTTGTTTGGAATGATCAGTTGACAAATTGGCAAACCTTATTTGCACCAAAATGATATAAGCCACTTGAGGGTGTGGATTTGGGTGTGGGTGTGGATGGGTGTGGAGTGTGGGTGTGAGTGAAAAGAAGATCAACACCCATACCGACATCCCCATCCACACCCATACCCACACCCTGATACGACAAAAGATTGAATGAAGGGTATAGCAATCGCAACTAGCTGCACATGCAAATTTGACGAAAAACAACCCAAAGAGTAATTAGTATGTATTTTAATTATTCAATCAAAAAAAAACTAAACTTTCTACTACCATTTGTTTATATGAATTAACTCTTACTATTTTCTGCTAAATTCATCATCGGATGCTTTAAAACAATCCAAATAGAACCGATCAATTCCAGTACTTGGTAAACCAGTGGCTTGTACTAATTGATTCTAGTTGATACACGACAAGGGGGAAACAGCGAACTTCAAGACTTCAATAGACTTCAACGGACTTCAACCATAGTGACTTCATATTTTCACAAGACTTCAAAAGATTTCTAAAGACTTCATAAGACTTCTAAAGACTTCCTAAGACTTCATAGGACTTCAAAGGACTTCACAAGACTTCATAGGATTTCATGGGACTTCAGAGGACTTCAAAAAACTTCGTGATACTTCACAGACTTCGTGAGACCTCACGGATTTTGTGAGACTTCACAGACTTTGTTGGACTTCTTGAGACTTTATAAGACTTCATAAAATTTCACAAGACTTTGCCAGACTCCACAAAACTTCGTAAGACTTCATAAAACTTCACAAGACTTCGCTAGACTTCACAAAACTTCATAGGACTTCACAAGACTTCACAAGACTTCAAGAGGCAGATTCTATGAGTATCAAAAAACCTTATAGAAATTACATGAAATTTCTATAACATGCAAAAAACAAAACTTATCATATAGAGATTACAAAAGTGTTTCTTGTTTCTGAGAATTGTATCTCGAAGTATATCTGTATCTAGAATAAAGATGTGGCAATGATACAAAGCGTTGATGAAATTAAAACAGACAATAAACTTTACTGGTACGCGTATAGTTGATTCGATTAATCCAGCATTGAAAAACTCCTATTTTCAGGTGAAAATAAATAACAAGACTAAATTTATACACAAGCACACGGCTGGTTGCTTATTGACCGACAAAGCTAGCCGTTTATCGGCTGATAGATTATCACGAGTGATAGAAACAAACAAAAAGGAATAAAATTCTTCATAAGACTGACATTTAATAGATGGAACATTTCTTATAAAAATAAATCACTTCATTCAAAAAGCATTCAGTTATTAACTATCATGTTTTCTAAGATCCAACAAACTTGAGTTTTTTTTTCCAGCACATTGAAAAAAAAAATAACAAGTCCCCCTTTCCGCTATAATAAGACCATCGAAAACAAGACAATTTCATTGGTTTCTTATGAATTTTCATGCACTACCCAGGTCGAAAAATCTGACAGAAGATCTTGTACGAATATATGAAATCGTACAAAAAATCGTAGTCTCTGAAATCTTATATCAATTCTTACTGCAAGATTTCTATCAGATCCTACCGTCGCATAAGATTTTCTAAAATCTTACAGTAAGATTTGGCAAGACAACAAAATCTGTCAAGAGTCTTACAGTAAGAATTGATGTAAGATTTCAGAGACTAAGATTTTTTGTACGATTTGGTATGAATCGTACAAGATCACACATGATCAGACACAGAATCTTGTCCGATCTTAGTGTCTGATTGTTTACCTTGGGGTAAATGTATTTCAAACTTCCAGAAGAATTCATGAGACTTCATTAGACTTCATTAGGCTTCAAGAGACTTCATTAGACTTCATGAGACTTCATAAAACTTTTTGAGACTTTGTGAGACCTCATAAGACTTCAAGAGACTTCGAAAGACTTTCAAGACTACATGAGACTTCACGGCTGAAGTCTCTGCTGTTTCCTCCTTGATACACGACTGGAAACGAGCTCCCATCAATATCAAAAGAATATGTTATACTTGAGCTATAATATCTATCAGAATTTATCATCAAACGACAAATAATTACAGGAGAGGAATAACTTTTATAGTGTTTTATAATAGTTATTGAGTCAACATAAATAATAATTTTCCTTTTCATCTTTGTTATTGAAGAACATCGTGAATGTGTCACATGTGACATCACATCGGCAATGTTTGGTTATTGAACATAATGAGAATATATCTGAGGTTTTTCTTTGAGAAATCGAATAATGTTATTATTTTGATTTTATTTTTAGTTGTATGATTTAAAAAGCTTTTTATTATTTAGTTTTATTTCAAGTGATGACATAATTTATGTTAATGTTTTCTAATGGATACAGAATATGTATGCCATTTAGCGAGAATCTATATAAAAAGTACAGTATTGATAGCAAAGTATTTCTGTTTTTGAGAGATATGTGATTAATTAGCGTGTTAAAATCTAATATTAAAAGGGTTGATTGTAGGCTGCTTGATTGGCGATGTAATTCATAAGTTCTTCTTGAGTAATATAACCACGATTATTTTGATCAACTTGTTTTGCAACATTGATGTTCTGTACCAGAAGGTAAACCATAATAATCATTAAGACGTCGAAAGACTTGATGTCTCCATAACTATTATTTTGTCCAATAAGAAAATCAATACGATCCCGTCGAGGCATATTGTGATTCATCATAATAATAGCACTGAGAAATTCAACGAATGAAAGAGCACCTGAACCATCACGACCAAATGTACGAAAAATATGAGAAATTTGTTGTTACATATATCGTGGATAAATTGCTTGAATTCGCTCGGGTGGTAGACCAGTGGCTTCAGATAATTCATCCATATCCCATTCGTCGTACGATACACGGACTGAACGAGTTCCCATTCGTATATGTTCATGTTATCGAATAAAACACGAATATGAATACAAATATGCTTCAAGGTATCATAGTTAAATACTATGATAAGTTAGAAATTGAATCAATGAATCGTAAACGACAACGTATCAACATAACTAATGTATGAATACGTGGAACTGCTCGTTATGCATCTTGACTACATTACTCTTGTTGTTATTTTAAACATTCGAAAAAATTTGTTTGGTTTATTGCACTTTAAATCATTGATTCGATATTATACGACATCGATGTTTCATTAAAAATAAATGATATCATAAATATAATTTCAAATAAACTACGTAGATTTATTAAACAGTTATTTCTCAGTTTTTTTCGATTTGATTAGGGTCTTCATATTTTTTATGTTGTTTTCAGAGACGCAAAATAAAATGCATAAGAGTAATAAATGTTATCGTTGTCTTCCAACAATAAAAATTATCTCAGAATATTTATTTGCGTCGAAATAGAAAATGAAATTCTCATTTTTCATTCAAAAAAAAAGTCTAAAAAGTTCAACTATTCCACAATCAAAAATAAAGAATGATTTATTTGATGAAAACATATAATTTTAAAAGTGAGGGTGTGTACTGTGCAGAAAATGGCAAAGAACGAAAAATTAAAGTAAACAAATGTATTCATTTTGCATCAGTTTTGGACAGAGAAAAAAAATGAAATTTATTCTTTAATTCAGGTACGTGATGGATAAAAAATTCTTTTTATACTTTTCAAATGAATAGAATACCGATTTCAACAGATCAATCTCCCTTTGCAAAATCATATCATCGATAGAAATTAGACGAGATAGCATTTGCCAATATGTAAAATAATACACATGTTATTTATATGTAACAAGAACATAGGTAATTTTTATTTTTCGACCCTATACTATCTCTGTCGGTCGTAAGAATGAGCATATTTGATGGTTTACGATATAGTAGTCTACAACTGTAATACGATTATCTACAACAAGGTTATATAATGGGGCATATAGATGCGTCAATTGTGTTTGAACCTAACATACTAAATGTTAACATGTATTAAACTTTCGGTAGTTTTAACTTTTTAGACAATATTCATTTTCGCATCTTAGTTTTTTCTTTCATTTTTTTACCGCACCATGTAAACATTATAACAATACCAAAACTCTTGTATTTTGGAGATTTGGGTTCTGGATCAGTTTAGGATTTGAAGATCCTGAGTTTTGAGTGAGTTTGGATCTTTCTCACTGATTGTTGTAATGAAGTAGTCTATTTCGCTCACCAAACTTTGTATTATATAACCAGGGAAGAGAAGGTATGATTATATTGGAAGTAATTGCCAGTTTGGCACTACTTGAGAAGGACGTAGGAGAAAATTTAAGAATTTAAACAAAAGTATGTTTTCAATTCTCGCCAACAGAAAAATACTTTCTTCATTTGCATCTTTGTTAAAAGCTTATCATCTATACATACATATACACAACTGTACAGATGAAGCAAACTACAAAATCGCCACTAATGAACAATCTAAGTTTAATGATCTTCTTCGTTACTATTTAAGTTTACCACAGATAGGAAGCTCATGAGAGGATGAAAGACTTGCATAAATCTTCTCTATCTTGAATTCATTTCACTGAATGTTTCAAATAACGTCTTTTTGGAATACGAAAATATTTAATTGTAAATATTTCCGATAAGTATATCGTTAATCGCTGCATAAATATACTTTTGTTTTCTTTTTCTTTAGGATCAATTAGTAAACGTACGTACCTATCAGATTGCCGATTCTAATGTCAATCTCTCAGTCTCAATGGTTCAATCGATCACTTTCATCCATCCTCACTCTGATAGTTTTACTATACAGACGAATCAGTTCATTGATTCCAGGTCTTGTCTGGGTTTCGTTAGTGTGTGCTGTTATAGTGGCTGCTGCTGTTTTCAGTACTGCCACTCCACAAATAACATCGACGACTACTTCGACAATAACAACTACTGCTCTCTTAGTAAGCAAAAATCTTATACGAAAACATTCATAGAATCATTTTTCTTTTTTTGACTTCTAAAGCAAATATTACTTATTCATGTCAAGAAGATACTGTGGTCAGTCTTACATGCGTAAGTTCGACGAAACTTACGATTGTTGACGCTTTTTATGGTGTTCTTCTTGTGCTAATTGCACTTGCGGATATTGTACTTGTGCAAGTATGAATGTTGCATCCGTGATCACTACTCAATGTGCTGGTCTCACGTCGTGTTCATTTACTGCAGGCAATGCTGTTTTAGGTGATCCATGCGTTGAACATAGCAAAACTTTCCAACTTACATATTTCTGCAGTTGAAAAAAGAAAACTATTTTAAATTTCAATATTAAATTATATTAAAAAGAAATCTGAAAGTTCTTTTGGTTCTATCATCTTTCACTCTTGATATATTAGAACTCGCTTCCTACGGTGTTATAAAATGATAATGAACTTTCTATTAAATCCAAAAAGCTTGTCGTAAATAAGAGATGATCATACAAATCGTTTTTATTTCGAACAAATTCGATGAATATAATCATCAATAAATAAAGATTTAATAGAAGTGACTCAATGATTAAGAATATTTTTTCCAAATATCTTGACAGAATACAATAAAAAAAAAAGGTATTTAAGTCGTGTAAATTTTGACATAATACGAACTGATGAAAAAATAAAATCGACAATGGATGGACTTAATAATTAAACTGAAGTAATTTGATATTTATTAAGTATGATAATATACATGTGTAAAACCATGGAAATACCTTCTATTATTCTTATCAACAAATTTATTTTATTGTCATTAGTTGTTTGTTTCATATATTTACTTAGAGTGTACCAAAAGTTCTGATTACAGTGTTTATGGTCTCTCCCTTCTAAAATTTTCAGCTCGTTTTACAGAGATATGAAACAAACAAGAGTCAAAAATAGTTCATTTTCTGTCCAAGATTTTTCGGTCCAGGCTCTTTCAATATGTTTAACTTTTTTTTTGCTAGAAAGAGCACGTCAGGATACAGGGCACCAAAGAGTCCTTTTTTTTTAAATTCTTACTTTTTTAGCGGAGAAAGGGGATCATAAGTTCAATGACTAAAAAAACGCGCTAAAAATGGGTGTCTAGTTACATAAATGTCTGTATATATAATAAAAAATAAAGCTTAATTAAAAAAAGAACTCTGGTGTCCTGCATCTGGACATGTTCTTTCTAACAAAAAAACATTTAAATATATTGAAAGAGCCTGAACTGAGAAGTTTTGGACAAAAGATCAAAAAAGTCATAAATCGAGAAAAAACGAAAAATATTTTTCGTTTTTTTAAAAAGAAGCATATTTTCCAAGAAGAGATTAATAAAAATCATTGAAAATCTTGGCCAAAAAAGAGGTGCCAAAGAAAAATCAATGTTGTTTCTGAAAGATCTGAATTCGGGCTATCTTCCTATGTATTTATCTCAATTTCAAAAATTCTGACGAGGGTGTGGATGTGGGTGTGATGAGAAGATTTAAACCCATACCCACGAGGATCAGCGCATCGAGCTCTACAAACTGGAATATATCCCATTCAAAACTTAGACTCACACTTGGGGACCTTCCCTCGTTAGTCTTACACCCTTACCTTCAAAATAATGCACACTGAGACTTTGTTTTTTTATTGAAATAATTTCGATGTGTAGTATTGACTTTTATTAGAGCAAATGAAAACACTAATTTTTTGCTTACGACAACACATACAATCAAGCATCTTTGACGAAGTTTTTTATTTGAATAGCAAGGTTAAACATAAGAAAAGCAAAACGTTTTATGATAAATTCTGTTAAATTATAATTAAATAAAGCAATTAATTGTTTCTGTTCTGCATTGAAAATACGTTCATACCCACATCTACAACATTAGTTTGTCGAAGATGAAATAGTTTCAGAAGTTCACGCCGAAACAATTGACTCGATAATGTACATAGATAAAAGCTAGCACATGGGCCGAGGAAACCAATGAGTGAGAGTATATTCGTAAGAAGATTTTGCTTAGTGGCTTGTAGTGGATTGTTTTGTGGGGGTGATAGTGACGACAAGGTACAGTCCAGCAACATCACAAGCTGATGTTGACGCAAATAGAATTGACTGAATAAGCGCTACTTGAAAGAATTGTCGATCAATAAACTTAGTTCGTTTTTGTTGTTGATTTGCAGTATTTTGCTGCGTAAGGTTTCGAGCTGATTGCTTGATATGACGAATCGTGAGATAACAAAACACAAGCATAGCCGAGGATGGAATCATACACCATACAATCATATTGATATATGTAATCGCTTCCTGAAATAAACTAGGTTGACCGAGACACGTTCTTGATTGTGGATTGATTGTATAAAAGATGAGTACTGGCACGTGTATTAAAACAACGAACAGAAGTGTAAGTGAAATTAAATACTTGGAAACACGAATTGAACTCCAACAACGAAGTGTAGCTGATCTTGAACTACAGAAAAATCTTAAAGAGAAAAAATAGTATATATTGTCAATGTGAGCATTTATGTCACTCATACATACCGGTCAGCAGAAGCAAGAGTTATAAACCAACACGGTAAAATTCTATAAAAGAAAACAAAAAAAAAGATTCATTCGATTCTATTCTATCATCACAATTTAGAATACCTTATCGAGATAAAGAGAAATGATACAATTTTGCATATTTCCACTGATAGAAGAAATAAACTCAATTTGTAACCCAATTGGAGAAAACGTATTGGAATATTAACAAAAACGACAAGATAGCCACTAATGGCTGATGCCAGAAAATATCTGCCGCATGGATTAGAATAAAGTGCAGGACGCGTAAATACATAAATATTCAATGAATGTCCAACACAGCCAAGAATAAACATTGTTATACACCAGCATCAAACAAACAAAACTGAGTCCCAAAGAAGAGCATTGGTGGCAGCAACGATATCATTGGTGATGTTCGAAGAAGACATCTCAAAATAAAAATGTACAAATTCATCTCAACCAAATGATCACGTTCTACAATTTGATTTCGAACATCTGTGAGTTTATTATGAAAGCACTTTTATGATGATAAAAATTCATCATAACGCATTGCTTAACGTCTTAAATAAATGTTCTAATTTTTAAAATTATCTCTAAGCAAATACAGTAGAGTACAAAGAAAAATTCTCTTTTATACTTATGAAGGTATACATCAATTCCAGTTCTGAGTGACTGACTAGATCACAATTGGACCGGATATCGAGTCGGCCTTGACTCCTACATAGCTAAATCCATTTTTTTCTTCAAATTTTCGAGTTGAGTTTTTTTTTGTTAAAAAGGATGTTTTTTGAAAAAGTAACGATTGTCTGATTACACTTACCGAAACCGTAAGAATAGGAACGTGACATCTCTTGAGCAAGATAACTCAGCTCGAGGATTTCGATAAACCATGTATAGATTAGGATTCTTTGATCTCAGAAGACTTCGATCAAAGTTTTTAGAAAATCGGTATTTTTGGAAAAAAAGACCTATTTTAACCAAAAAAAAATCAACTTGAAAATTTGAAGTAAAAAATGGATTCAGTTATGCAAACTTTGATTATAGGATCATGCCTATCTATAATGAGAAAATGTCATTACTAAAGCAATTAAACTACTTGAAAATAATAGAATATGATGAATAAAGTGCTCTGCTCTTTCATTTATGACAAGCGCCCATAAAATAGATCTGACGTCTGTGCCGAACCATCATGAAAGAAAATGTTTGTACTTGTAACACGATTTTTTTTTCTCGTAATGGAACTATTTTATATTAGATACTGGCAACAGAACAACGGAGCGTTCATTTTCTTAAATCAATGAAAATAAAATTTGTATGATAATTATTATAGCGTATTAATAAAAAAAAGCATGACATCAGTTTCATTCTATAATATTATACATGCATGAACATCTTCTGCCGTTGTTATGCTGTCATGAAGATTTCAAAGCATTAAATAGAATCTAGAAATAATTGTGACAGATATGTGGCAACCCAAAAAAAGTTCAGTAGTGCGTGCGAAAAATCTAAACTTAAATAATACGAACAACTCATACGTGAATACCGTAATATTCATATTAAAGAACTACTATAGTGTAACGACATAAAATTCATGTAATTTAATGGCTCTCTCATTAGATGGGGTATTTGAATTTGCGGCAAATTCATTTAAAATTAAAAAGAAAGACTTTAAAGAAAATAATTTGATGGAGGTATTGGAGGGGTAATATACCATCGCCAATTGGCGAATACACTATAGCGAAACAAAAAGTTTATTGGCATATTTCACACTAGAGATTCACCAATTTGAATCAACTGAGTTGTAACTCAATTATAGTACTTGATATTGTTACCAATGAAACCGAATTTATCTCAAGTGTATATAACTGCTACAATGAAAAATTATTGTTTTGTCTACGTTCAATTTAGTCGAACATATGTCTTGTGTTGTTTGAGAATGCATAGGATCGAACGGGAACACAATACCCTCTGTAGTAATTTATTTTGTACATAATCTATTTATTAAATAGAGAGAGAAGTATTTAAACTAATCATCTTTCTATTAAAACTTTTCATCGTTCTCTTTTATTAAGATAGCTGAAAGTCAACGATTAGTGAGTGATAAAATTCCAACAGCTCAATTACAAAATGAATATGCATCATATGATAAAATTTATCAAGATAAAATAGCAGTAAGTAAGATTGATATAAATAAAATAAAAATTATATTTTGACAACAAAAAAAAAGGAATTAATGAAAACATATAAATATATTCGACGTATACATAGTGATGGAAATGGTTTTTATCGTGCATTTACATTTGGTTTATCTTAAAAAAAATTTAAATAATAAAAAAGAATTCGAACGTTTTCGTCAATTAACATATGATTTAAAAGATCAACTTATTAAATTAGATTATTTAGATTTTACAGTTGAAGATGTACGTGATGTTGTTATTGAAATGATTGATAATATATCTAAAGAAGGGAATGAACAAAGTTTAATAAAAAATGGGTGGGTGTGGGTGTGGGTGTGGGTGGGGTAGCTGGGTGGGGGTATGGATGTGGATGTGAATCTTCAATTTATGGAAACCCACAATCACATCCACACCCACACCCACACCTACGCCCACAAGGCATACAGTAGATGAGTGCGACAAATTTTATTTTAGTATATATCATGTTTATTTTTCAATAAGTTATAGCAGGAAAAAACATACCGAAAAACTCAAACAAACCATAAAACAACAAAAAATTGAGCAAATAAAAGAGAATATAAAAGAAAGACAAAGCGAAAGGAAATGAAAGCATGTACAATGAATAGTGTACCCTGCAAGAAAAGTGCATAGAGACTGTAGAGTTCCTGAATCTGAATGATTGAGGGACACAGTCGAAAAGTTATATTTCGAAATATTACCATACATTGCACTTATTCATTCGACTATTGCCTTGACCTGGTTTGCAGCCGAATGCACGATCAAACTCAACAAAGTTGGACGTAGAACCAAGTACTCTATAACAGAAATAAACTCTGATATCATCGTAGCGACTAGGTGAAAACAGTTTGTATACAAAAAATTTTCTGTAGATGCCCAAAGAGATACAGATTTTTGACAAAAGTCCACGCAGTTGAATAGCGCAAAGAGTTCTTTACGAAGATACTTGATTATTCTCAAACGGTGTTACAAATGTTTATCTATTTTTTTTCTATTTCATCAACTATCATTCTCAACTGGGTGAATGTTCCGCTAACACGAAATGTAAATCATTAGTGTTTACTGTGAATACTTTCCGCAGGTGTGAATAAAAAACTTGATCAGAAAGTCTCTAAAATTTCGGAAGATATCGAGCAAGATCCTCATTTGAAGTCACATGTGACAAATGTTTTCCATATCAATTCTTTATCTAGTGCGCTAAAACTATTGTGTTAAAGTGTAGAGACAAGAAGTTTACCTGAACTGACCAGGTAAGTGTACATCTCCCAATACAATATTTGTTGCATATTTATCTGTCATTTTGGAACACCACATTCGACCATAATTAAGAAAAAACATTTGTTCTGCTGAATATTTGGATAGACCCAGCAACTTCTTGTCAACATTTTTATGGGTATGTGCCCATTTTTGATAAGCCTACGAGGTAGATGGAACTCAGTTCGAAATTATATATGACACAACTTACGAAAAAGGCCACTTTCAATCCACCATTCTCTGCAATGTTTTCGCCTTGGGTTCGTTCACCATTTATCTAAAGAAAGATAAGGAATTTCAACAAACTGAAACAGAATGAGAGACCTCGACGTTGATCTGAGCCATTACATAATTATTATATTGTTCAATAATGCATTGCTTATGTTTGTTAAATGTATTGATTGTTTCATTAGACCACCAAGAAACCTTATTTCCCTCTTTGTCAAAATGTCGGCCAAGGTCATCGAAACCGTGTATAATCTCGTGTCCGATGACAACTCCAACACCTATATTTAGTACTCTTTTTTTTCATTCTATTCAGATTGAATCAATACTTACCACCATAATTAAGATATCTAGAACAGATATAAAGATATTTTCTTTTATATTACAAAGGAAGTGCATACTTAGGTGCATCTTTGTGAAAAAAAGGCGGTTGAAGAAAACCAGCTGGAAAAGCTTAAGAGAAACAAAAACAGGACACAGTATGGTCAGACAAATTTTCTTACTAATATCATTATATAATGGAAAATAAAACGCATTGATAGTCGTCGGTGCCCAATCGGTCCACGCCTTACGATCAACAGGTTTACGGAGTATTCGAAGATTATTTTTTACAATCAGTCGATCGATGATCAAAGTATTTCGTAGAAATAACGAATTAAAGTTGTACTATATTTCAAACAAACAAATGTATATGATAAACAACAAGAGGTTTTTGTATCTCATACTTCAGCGTAATCATTCTCGAGTTTTGTCACATTGTCACTATCTAAATAGTCAGGATAACCCATTTTTTCGACAATAGCGCGGGCCTATGTATTGAAATCTGTCTTTTTCAGTTCGAAAATGATCTATTTTTAATTTACTTTTTCTATTGCCCTGTTTTTCGAGATAGGATCCATCCAGATGGATTGCTCGAGTATATCAATAAAGGAATGTCGAATATTGTTCATCATTTCAAGGACCTGCCAGAAAATAAAAAAAAGATGTGTGACCAGAGCTATTGTGTTGGTACCTGATTGCGAGCATCCGTGTCAAAATAGTTCTTTATATAAAGTTTTGAGAGAGCAAAGCCCATGTGGTTATTGACGTAATTCACACATTTAATTGCACGTGACCGTTCAATAGTGATTTCTCGAAATATTTTATTGAATTCTTGTTTAATGATTCGAAATCTTTTCGGCATATTGTCAATTTGACTCATCACAAAACACCATACAACATAGTTTTGTAGTGTACGTGATGATTGTTGATTGATAATCAACGAGATATTGCGTACAAAGTCAACTTCAGTTATAAACACTATGTCTGCATCGACAAGAGTCACATTTACCAAAGAATAGATACGACGAAGATGATTGGTAAAGTCAAACTAAATGGAAATCTTCACAGTGCTAGAGATAGAGAGAGAAACAAACTCACACTGGTATTGATTGCTCGCGAAAGATTGCCAAGTGTTGTACGAATATATTCAAAAATTCGAGCACGTTGCTCATCCGTTGTCCAATGGTACTATTGCAGAGATTTGAAATGAAGAATATGTTCGAAAAGATAAAATTACCTTGGCAATCTTTTTCTCAAATTCGAATACGTCAACAATATCGTTGTCAACCATTGATGTGAGATTGCTTAATTCTAGGGCCACGCTTCGCATGAATTTTTGATAAGCTTTTGTGACTCTGTTCTCCCTAACATAGTAGTTGCGGTGTTCCAAGGTAAGATCACTTTGACCTATCTGAAGTATCAACATCTTCCACCAATCTAAATTCACAACTACCTATCTTACTCGAATGCAATGGATGGACGAGTTAATAAAGTCAATTTTTGTATTTATACTATAGATTATATTTCTGTTATATTCATGTAGTTTAACTAGTAGACTAGAAAAGTTAAATGTGGAATGATTCCATTTTGAGCCTTGTAGGATAGGCCACCCACCGAGTTCTGTATTGATAAATGAGAGTAACACATCAACACTCTTCATTTCAATCATTGCTTCGTTGATACAGGAAGTATAGAGACGACGAGCATTGATAATTGCTTTAGACTCAATGGTACTATTCGATGGTAATGTAGTAAGAAGATCTGCAAAGAATACGAAAATAAATAAAGGATATGAATAGCAGATTTTACTGATAAGAGTACTGCCCAGTTGATCTTGCATCATTTGAAATGTATCTTGATGTCTAACTAGAAGTTATTAACATGATCAATTTGATGAATCAATCATTTAATAAAGTGAACAAACCATCATTTGGTATGTTTGTGTTCGTAAGCCATCTACCACAAGTAAACTCGTAAAGATTTTCGCATGGTTCAACAGTTTCATTTATACTCTCAAGTAGATAATTAGCTGAAAGAATAGAACAATATTTATTGTGATCATAAAACTTGCTCACCTGCTTTGATACAATATGAAGTTAGACACAAATGATCATTATCTATCATTCAAACATAGAATCTGATTGGTTTCGCATAATCAAACACAAAATCACATACTTTTCTTTTGTGGATGGATCACATTCCTTTGCTTGGTACCCAAGAAGATGGAAAATGAGGTCGTCGAAATTATATAAAGATAGGCGAAAATGCATAGAAATAGCATGAACTTCTTCCATCGAGGTGAACAACTACAATAACATCGACATTAATACATGTATACAAGTATCGCTTAGTGTTCTCTTTTGTACTATGATATTCTGCTAGTAACGACATTAAAAGCAACGAAAGACTACCATTTATGTACTACATTATAGTCTATTCGTCGCTTGTAATCAGTCAACAATTTGATTCTTCGTCTTATATCTGACCTTATCTCATAATCTGATGTTTTTCATGGCTAGCTAATTGCTTCAAATTATTTCGAATATCACTTACCGATTATTAGAAATAATCCACATCATTCTCGTTGAAGAACGATCAGAGAAGACTATGTTGTCATTTTTCATGAAGTAAATACGAGTATTTCTTCATACATGTGCCTTTTTTCTGAATTATAAATATCATATAATAGCTTCTTTCGTTCTTTCTTTTTGATCGTTCTGTTGCCACGCTAGCGTTTTTTTCTGTTGTTTGTTTCTTTCTACTGCATTTTTTACTCGTTCACCTGTCTTCGTTATTTCTTCTTCATGAGAGCACGGCTCCTTCTATATCAAAGGACACAAATGCGGAAAATATTACGCGGTTTAATCAATATAAGAAATAGAAGAATAAAACAATAATTTTTAACGATAGCTTTTGAAAATTAATTCGATGACTCTGCGGCTATTTGGTAACTCAATTTTTAGGGGTTTTCGCCTATATACACCATCTGTTGCAAAGATGTCTACAAGGTCATGTTTCTTATTTTATTTGCCTCGATTGTATTTTTCAATCACATTCAAGAGAAATAATGCTTGCATGTTTATCGAAAAATATCCTTTGGTTAAAATTCTTTCTACGATAATAATAACTCATAGTTGTTAGCGTCATCAGATGTCACTCTATGATGCCAACTCATTCCTTCTACATCGATTTTCTTTTCTTTCCTTCACTATGGACACAAGATAAGGAAGTTCACCAAGTTAAGAGAAAGTTTGGACGCCATGATAGAGGCACATGGTATTCGAAAAGGGAGAATTGAATTGGCTAGAAGAATTGTGATCAACTTCTGTCGTTTATAGATTGTGATTCTATGGAGATCAGTCAAGATTTCATTGCCTAAAACTTAACGCAAAGAAATAGCTGTAACTACGGCACCACTCTTTAATAATACATGTTCTTTGAATATAAATATCCAAAAAGACAAAACACCATAGAATTCCAGTTCCTCTCTGGAACACGTTCCATAGACTCAACACATTCAAATATAGATTGGTACACGTATTTCGATGAACACATTCTGTGCACAAATAGAGTTGTCTCCTAAGACTAGACAGAGTGTCTAAAGAGTGAGAGAGATGGGAACAGTACATGTTTCAATCAGAGAGCCGGAATTTCTTGTTGTTTTGCAATGCATATACACCAGAGCTGCATCGAATATGATGATGACTTGTAAGTCAGAGGAAAATCGTGTTCTTCCTTTTTTTAGTAACAATCAAAAGGCCACTGATGGATCGAATTCACGGGTGATAAGCTTCCCCATCATGGGGTGTGGGTGTGGGTGAATGAAGAAAACGAAGATCAATGCTCACACCCACATCCATACTTCACACACCCATACCCTTGAGTTTTTGATGAAAAAACATTGTCTTCATCTTCAGCCTCTATATTCACTACTTTGAATTCGCATTTAACGACCTACGGATCATATACTTGAAATAAGTATATCTACGTTATTTCTTTCTGTCGATTACGAATGTCTTAAAATTTTTTTAAGATGACAATACATATAATAAAAGATATTGATTACATTACTCATATTATCTATTGAACAAAGAAATATAAAGGAGCGTACAGTGCAAGAAATACAGAAACATGCTTGTTTCTTATGACAAAATCCATACGATTTGGAGTTTTCTACAAAAAAAATTGTCGCTGTCACACGGCGGACACCTCTAGCTAGAATAAAATATAACTAAGATGAGTTACTGGTACACCATTATAATGAATCATGGAACCAAGCTATAGACAGAAGAAAACAGAAAGAATTGAATAAATAAAAGTGCATGATGGATATACTAATAAAAGCTATTGCGCAGCGAAAAAAACAACGTTGTTTTTCTTCGTTTGATGAGAAAATAAACGTATCATATCAAAGTTATAGGTCTATTACTAGTATTTCTCTACTTTCTAAATAGTGGGTAATTATGTTATTTATGAAAGTTTTGTTCAAGTTTTTGTACTTATACAAAGTCTAGAAAACTTTTCATTTTGATAGAGTTAGACAGAGTACAAATTATTCTATCGAATCATGTATATTTTTATTTTATTTATTTTATATTTCATCCAAAAATTTGATAAATTTTGAAAACCTACTTCAAAATTTTTCGGTTAATTTTTTCGATATTATTATCTATTGAAGTATTGAAACTTTTAATTTTTATCTAGAAAATAGACCGTTTGTTTTTCAATTGGAGTATATATTTTTCATTAGGCTTACTCCTGACCTTTACTAAAAACTTGATAATTTATTGAGAAATTTTTTTGTGAACTTTTTTCATCAAATGTGCTGTGCTTTTTTTTCAAAAGAATTTTTATTTAAATTAAATGATAACCAATGTCTGCAAGTGATGATATACATAAAAATCTTTCTTTCTATACAAACTTGCTCATATTCTCAAATGTGGATAATACTTTGATCGAGAATAAAAAAAAGACACCAAATGAAACAATATTTGTTATTATTTCAAATAATAAACATGATCTTTCACAATTTCATAATTTAGAACAAGTTGATTCTATTTTCATATATTTTTCAAATAATTCGTTCGAATTGATCGAATCATGACAAAAACGATTTATGAAAATCAAAGATGTTTTTGTCGATATGTAAATATTATCTCGTTTTGTACTTAGTGAAATCAAAAGAATCCAACAGAATTTTATACCAATTAGTATTCTTCTTTCGTCTTTTGAACAACTCGATTGAGATCATATGGCTCCATCATTTATGTACATTCAATTATTGAAAGATATTTTTATTGATGTAAATTTTCAGAAAGAACATAGAAAAACGTTTATTGATTATTGTCGCAATTCGTTTACACAGAATTCACCAAGAAAAGAAATGTTTGAACTAATTGAGAATTATGATGATCGAAGAGTCATTATTCGACAATATTCATTAGCATCATCTCTCTACGACATACTTAACCAAGCACTTCATCATATTGATAGAGAACTTCTCAACTTAATGGGATTTATTATTCATGATCTTTACTGGGAATTTGAAGAACTTTAGTTACCTAAAATTGAATGGAATCATATAAAAATTGGCAGCTTACTTTCTTTCAATAGTTTTCTCTCAACAAATCTAGATCGTGAGGGTGTGGGATGTGAGTGCGGGTGTGGGTGCAGTGTAAGTAAAGAACATCCACACCCACACCCCACACCCACATTCTTACTTTATATTTATTTATGAATTCACTCGAATGAAAAATATCTTCATTCAAAAGTGAATGAATTTTATTCATTATTACTGCAGTTTACCAATGATATCCAACTTATAAATTATTATTGCTATTTTGTTTTTGACAAAAATTATCGATATGTTAAAGAAAGCTTGAAGTCACAATAATGAGAGTTATCCTTCAGATTACTCCATAAGTGAATTTCAAGTTAATTATTCTAACCTTGAAACTTATTGGCTGAAAATAATATTTAGAATTGTATCAGAACATACTTACTAAATAATTAGCTAAGTTGTGCTGATAAGATAAGCTGATAAAAAACAATAATCTCAGAAATCTGTCGTAGATACTCTATCTGTTGAATACAAAAAAATATTTTGAAAATCTTTTATTTCACAATGACAAATTTAAAGAACACAAAAATGATCACGCATAAATTTACACAAACTTCTTGCCTAACGAAAGAAAGGCAATGGAGCAATACAAAAAGGTATAGAAAACACAACCATTATTGGACCAAAAACCAGTGGTAGTATGCTAGATTTATAACTTGGAAATGTCCATGCAACAGAAGTAACAGAGGTCTTATCATACCAACATGTATTCGATAATTGGTTCTGAAAATAGATACAATTATAGTCTTATTTAGATCTATTTTAAACTATATCTTACTTGATAATCGCTTTGCATGCTTTGTGCAAATAATCTTATGTTACTTGTGATGCGTGTACGATTAAAAATTAAATACGTAACATTAAATTGTTCATCATAACACTTGTAATCAGTACATCCATGGTCATCATTTGAACAATCTTGGCATATTTTCACTCGATATGAGTAATCGTTGACATAACATGTCGTATTTATGTAATTATTTCGTTTTTCACGAGTTCGAGCAGTTTGAACAGCACCGTATACTATTACGCCTATGGCTATGGCATCGAATAAAATAATAAATGCGTACCATGCTACAAAAAATGTGATCGAAAATGCAGCAAATCTGCCCATTTTGAATAACACAGGTAATGGTTTTGACTCGAGTATTTTATACGAGTGTACACGGAGAAATCCAACAGAGACTTACGTATTTTATGTCTACTTCCGTTCTTTACTCAATAGAGCGTAACACTGAGTGATATCAATCAGTTAGTAATAGCGAAAAATAAATGACGTATGAATTAAAATGGTTGTATTTTTTCTGCAAAAACAACGATTCGAAGCTTCTAGACAATTCAATATGCACTATAATTTGGACAGATTAAAAAGAATTTTTAACGAAAAGTTTTTTAGTCTGAAAAACCAGCATACGAAGACTTAAGGGAGTTCCTTATAATCATATTCGAAATCAGCATGATCGATAACATAGAAATGCGTTCGTTTTCGTCAAGAAAGTAATTGATCCATTGAAAACATTCCCCTCGTTAGATCATAATTCGAACGGATTTGAGAAGTATTCAATTTTATTACATTACTTTTCTTGTTGAAGATGAGTCATACAATCTACAGAACAGAAGAAATAGCATGCAACGAGAGAATGCTAAAATTAAAAAAAATAATCAAGCGTGTAAGAAAAAGAAAGATTTGATTATGACGAAATATTTTCTGTTTTATTTATACCACTATAGCATTTAAAATTTCGTAACATAGATGAAATTATTTATTTAAAACTAATAAAATTGCATTTTAATTGAACACATATTACATGGCAACCGCTGACAAAATCAGCGAATCATATTCCACAATTTCAAATTCCAATGATTTTTTAATTAATGGTCGTCTACAAATTGTATTTGATATGGAAACAAGTGATCCAGATGATTTTATTACTCTTCTTTTTCTTCTTGGACATCCAATGGTACATCTAAAAGCTGTTACAATTGTTCCTGGTACTCCTGATCAAATTGGCTTTTTACGTTATGTTCTTGATCGTTTTAATCGAAGTGATTTATCTCTTGGTGTATTTAATATGAATGCTAAACCTGCTTTATCAAAATTTCATCTTAAAATATATGAAAATACATCTATAAAAGAATCAACAGAAGCTCTTGATGGTAGTAATGTTCTTCTTAAACATTGTGATGAAAAAACTATTTTAATTTGTGGAGGACCATTGAAAAATGTTGCTAAAGCTATTCAAACTGGCCAATTTAAACTCGGTCGTTTAGTTGCACAAGGTGGATTTGCTGGTGATAATATTGTACCGGAAGAAAAACGATTGAGTAAATTCAATGGTAGAATAACATGTCCAACATTCAATTTAGGAGCTGATATAAAAGCAGCTAAAATAGTTTTAGATTATAATGGTATCAAAGAAAAATTTTTTGTTTCAAAAAATGTTTGTCATGGTATTCTTTATACTAAAGATACTCATAAACAACTTGAAAAAATCAAAGATAAAAGTCAATCATTACAAGAAATCTATCATGTTATGTCGATTTGTTTCAAAAAACCAGGTAAAAATGGAAAAGCTTTTCATGATCCATTAACAGCTTGTTGTGCAATTGATCTTTCAATTGGACAATGGAAAGATGTTCAATTATATATGGATGAAAAAACAAAAGAATGGGGATCAATTATAAGTGAAAATCCAAATATTAAAATTATCGTCGATTATGATCATGAAAAATTTCTTTCAACTTTATTTGCTTATGTATAATTCATTACATACTAAATAAATAAAAAAACGTATGACTAAGTTAATGGTTTTTCTAATGTGAAATTATTCACTGGTTTGAATTTCGTATGATATATAAGTAGCTATCCTAGATGATGATTGTTTAAAAGATATAACTTATTTACTATTGAGAGATTTAAAATTATGTATTTTATAATTCAAATAAACAATCAAGATAGGAAATTGTAACGACAAATAATTATCAAGTTTGTAATTCATATTCTTTAAAATGAAATACCTTGCACAAAAACAAACTCTTATGTATGAAGCGAAAAATTTGAAAACTTGGAAAAAACCAGTACATTTTAAAGAATAGTCAACACAAATGATTTTTCAATGAATTCGATATTTTGTTTGTTGCATTGACAAAATAATAGGTTAAATAGTAGCTAGCAATACATGATATTCTTCATGATTTTTAATATTTGATGGTAAAATGAGTTGATGTTAAAGTTTGTTTTGTTCGTTTAGATTTTTCTATTCGAATATTTTTGTTGAATTATGTTGGCTTTTTAAAAAGTCAATTGCTAATGCTTTTTTTGTTGAGATAAACTTTTTTTTTCGATAATAAACACGTTGATTAATGATCGACAAGTGCAGAAAAAAGATAGGATGCGAGAAATTGTTGTTACTTTATAGATATCTTCATACTTATTATTATTACAAAATCATGTTTATTTTCAGTAGAAAACCTGCTTTGAAACTATCACTAACAATATAATATACTGCCAATTTCTTTTGACTTATATTTTCTCTATAATAGACAATCTACATATATGTTCAATCATTTTCAACTGGTCACTATAGATCAACCTAGTGCGGTATTTCTTGTACAGATTTCACTAATTATGTAGTAGCTATAGACCAGTTTGTGCATCAGAGCGTGTCCTATAGTCTAAAGATTAATCAGCATCTATCAAATTATTAATACTGATGATTTCCTTTATTTGTTTAGAAAATCATGGATCTTTCTAGCTATTCAACAGGAAAATGAAAGACTATTACAAAATATGTAGAATTACTTGTGTTTCTTTCTACATAGTTGACCTAAAGAACTTATGAAAGCTGGTTCTTTGAAATGATGAAACATGTTATTGTGTTCAATGAAATAAAATTTGATTTAGAATTCTAAATTCAACTAATCTTACTGTTAATAGAGGGTGTCCTCGGAAAAGTTTACCTGAATAATTCTTAAGCAATTTAAATGATTTAATTGCTTATCTTTATAATATATGATAGTATATTCGTTTAAGTTTTATTTCATATAATTTGACTTGCATCAAATTTTCGAAAGAATTATCATCAACCGAAATATATAAATCCATCATAGTTCGAAATCTATAAAAAAAATACTGCAGAAAGTTAAGTTTTTTGAAATTAATTTATTTCGGCTATCGATTCTTATTTTAAATTCAACCAAATGGATAGTACGGATTTGAAACGAGCACGTTGGATAACGTTCAACTTTAGATGGGGACAATGGATCATAAAAATGAACTTTTATTACATTATCACGATGTTTTGATTTTCACTAAATCTATTTTAGAAGAGTTTAACAACAGTTGAAGTTAAATTTCAATATTAAAAATTGAGGTTTAGTACTACATTAGGAGGATCAGTAATGTTTACTGTCGTGGACAAAAGTAACTGTCTTTCTCTCTCGAATTTATACGAACATTTTACCTCCATAGACTAATTATAAGCTGAATAATGCTTTTATGAGTGATACACTTTGTTGGGTACATATTGATATTTTTTTCCATTAGAAAACTTGCATCTTATCATTCATCTGATTATTCATATCGAAATAGGTGTTCTCTGTATGATTCGTTCCAGTTACACAAGTGGCAATTTTTTCGGAACCCAACGATGAATTATAATTTCCTTTAAATGTAATGCATCTATTCCATACTCAGATTTGGTCATTATAATTCAACTGTTTAAATCGATTGAGGTAAATCCATGGGAAACGTACCACGTTTACATCGACTTTCTCAGAATTGGCTGAAATTTTCAGGGTTTGTAGAGCTCAATGAGCTGATCATTTTGGTAATCAATTATTACGGGTTTGGTTCTGGATTAGGGTTGAAATAGGCAAAATAGAGTTTTCAAAAATTTCGGAAAATCATGGTCAATGTGAAAAGTTCTCATTTTTGCGAGAACATTTTCTCTTTTATTTCAAGAACAAAATGGAACATTCTATACATATTCTGATAGCCCGTGCTCAGCTCTATCGAACCATATATGATTCAAAATGTTTCCATTTTTTAATGAAAATTTTTAATTGGATCACAAAACGTTCACTGTAACACAAACTTTATCTTCTAATAAAAAAACTCCTTCCGAATTTGGATGAATTGTGATTTAGTAGGTTTTGTAGAGCGTCGCTTGCTCTACCTTCTAGTATATAGTGCATTGCAGCCGGTTTGCATTTTTGTGCGTTAGAGGGTCAAAATGTTTATCTACTACTGTTTTCTGAAGGTTCTAGTTCATATTTCTGGACTTTTCAAAAGAAATACTCAATAAACTAATCTGGAACTTTAACTTCAAAGAAATCTCGCTTATTAGAGTAGTATTTATAAAAAATTTATTGACATTATTTTCTCTTTCATATCATTCTACGATAGTAAGATGTCACAAGTCACGTTTGAACTCTTGATTGTTCAAAGGAGAGGGATCATTAATCCATGAATTCGGTCCCTTCCTGAAATTGAGTTTTGTTTTTTCCAAATACTCGATTGAGATGTCAAAATTCGATTAATGTTCGAATTAATGAGTTCGCCTTCGTTATACCTATGCACCAGGAGCCAAAAAAACTTATATTGTCTATTACCGGGCCAGTTGCGCTATATAGTGTTCCTATGAAGTATATTGACTCTGTTAACATCTTTAATTTGAGTCAAATACCAAATAAAAGTTTGTTTTTTTCGCTACCGAATGATATATAATAGTATGATAAAATACTTTTCTTTCATTGTTTTCTTGAGATGACCTTGTACACTACTATGTGACATTTTATTGGTATTGATGAGAAAGTCCTATTTCAAGGTAGGAAAGAAATACAGATCCAACTTGAGTAAGGTGCTATTCGGTAGCCCTTATGAAGCTCTACAAAACTATGCTATTACATTGAGTTCAGGGTGTGGAGAAGATAGTCAACCCAAAGGCACAGTGCTGTAGGATGCCAAAAATTCAATTTTTTCGTTTATTTATGATTCATTGTTGCTTGAAATATCGGGCTCTATGTTTAGAAAAATGACATATTTAAAAGCAGCATCAAAAGCTGAGTCGGTCTTTATATGTTAGAAACTGCGCTATCAACTTTCATTTTTCTCGAAAAATACAACCCTGGTCTTCCTAGGGGGTATGCCGAAACCAACAAATAGATGAATGCCTACAATATAGGTGTGCATGTCACTATAGAGAAGATTCATGCACACCCAAAATTTTGATTCTTAACTATTTATTCATCAGTCTAATATTATTGAGTTATTTTATTACTGAATAAATATTTTTTTTTGGATAAATATGACCTAATTACATAAGTTTCTTTTATTATTCTGAAATCTATTTGATACATTGATGAAGATAGATATTATATATATCAGTGAATTGTAACTTTTTCTTACGAGTGAAATTTTAATATGTTATTAATCTTTGATTGCCCCACTGTCATAGAAAATTTCAGCACTCTAGTTCATCTATCTACTGAGTTATCAGATCTTTACTGTCAAAACAATTCTTAATTTACAGTAATATGTATTAAGAAAAAAATATTTTCTATGTATAAGATAAAAGAGAAAAACTATGATGAATGGTCAATATTGTAAAACTTGAAATGCTCTATTAAATGGTATATCTTTCATATGTGTTTCCTCTTCTTTTCACAGTCATTCATCTCAATTACTTGATTATTGATAAAAAAAAATATTCTTCGAAATGAGTTTTTTTGTTTGAATGAAAAAAAATCGATTGTTTTCTAAAAATTTCAGTTCTACTCACTATAAGTAGAATGACTTTTCGAAAATTATATTATACATAACTCTTGGACAGTTTGATTGTTTTCGCTTAAATTTTCATTGAAGATTTAGTTCTATGAACACTGAAAAATTCACCGATCTATTTCATATTGTCCTTGAGATATTTATAAGAATTGTTTTAACTATATCCAATTTCAAAAAATATGTTAGGAAACTTTTTCCATGTAAAATAAACATAGAGTGTAATAAAAGGTTACTGTTCAGACATAATTTAGATCTAATTTCAATTTTTTACAGTAATCATACCAAAATGTTGAAATTCATTCATATAGATATCATAGAAAAATTTAAAATTTGATTATGCAAAATAAAAAACATGATTAGAGATAAATTGACAAAATGAAAATAATTAAAAATAAATAGAAAATTTTCTCTTTATTCAATTATTTTTTCATCGAATAAAACAATCTAAAAGACTAAATTAAAACATATTGACAATGACAATCAAAACGAAGTGTTCTTATAAATATGTTTGAATAGATTATAGCATTGTGTCTTAAAAATTATTTTGTTCAATGAAAAACTAGTTGAATAAAAAAAAAGTCTTCAATTCAGTTTTAGTTGTTTTGATTATGTGAATTTATCTTTAATCATATTCTAATTTCGTCCTACGTTTACTAAGATGAAATTAGAATTCGACTTTGAACTAGACGAAAGTGGAACTATTTTCCAATTAAGGAAAAAAATTACAATCTTAATAATTATATTATTGAAAAAAAAACTGAAAACGATGATGGTTTATATATGTATTTTTTTATGTCACTATGGTTTTCAGGTATATACATTTGAAGTTTGACACTTTTTGAGTTTAAAAAACGCTTTTCTCACTAAACTGAAACAGATACATTATCATAATTTAAAAAGTCATAACTCTTATTAAAGTGTCAAAGACTTATTTTCTTAGTTCAACAACTGAACAGACATATTATTATCGTGATTAATATGCAAATAGGGTGTGGGTGTGAGTAACGCATACATTTTCTTATAAAACGAAACGCACACCGGCACCTATTATACCATTTTTATCTGTGCCTGAGAAGATAGGTCGAAAGAAATTGACGTGAAATAATGCAATGAACTGTAAAGCAGCTGTTGCAGGCTGAAAGTCACAGTTATATACGAGAAGTACAATATGTTTTATTAGAATAAAAGAAGTTTTACACAGAACCGAATCGATGGCAGCGATGGCAAAAATCGGCGGCTAACATGTCTAGCGCCTACATATACAATCAATCATACAGATAAAGAGCGCAAGTAAATCAGGTTATCAATAAGAATGAAAATAAATGAGAATTATTTACCATTTGGATTCTTTCATTGTTAATGCAACATATCTGCTATCTATTAGAATATATGTATTTCTTTATTCTAATGGTTAATTCCTCCTCCAAAATCAAAAACGTAAAGTGCATAAGTTACTTAGTTATACGAACTTCTCTGTCTAGAACAATCAATATTGTATGATTGTTAGTGAACAACGATTAACTGCTGAAGAATTAAACAAAATAAATTAATAATACATTTCTCTCTGCCCTATACGATGCTCTTCATAAACAATAACATATTTGACCATCTCTGATTCTGATTTGCAGACTCGCTAACAAAGATTTTGTTTCAAACACAATAGCTTTTATTAGGATCAAGAATTCACGAAAAATAATCTGGATTAAAATAAAAAGTTCAAGAAAAGTTACATTTTTTAAAGAGAATATAATATATTCAATAATTTGAAGTGAAAATTTTTATTCTGTCATCTCCGTCAACTATGTTAAAGATGGATAGGTCAAATTCATGCCCAATGTACCAGCCAAATTACTTATGGCAATCATCATAAAAAATTGTTGTAATTGTTTAGCTTCCTCCAGTGTCAAGACATGTGGTACTTCTTGTATTGATTGTTTCGATGATTCAAAAAGACCACCTAAATAACTCTTCGAAGTCTGAATTAATAATAAATCGGGTGCTAATTGCCAATCAGCATTGATATCAACAATAAAAAATGAAGCAGTATTTATTATACTATCTCCATTTTTAAATAATGTAAGTGAACGATATTTTCCATCCATTGTCGGTGAATAAAGATATTCAATATCATCCCATGAAAAATCATCTGAATAAGTTAAACCAAGTAAAAAACTACCTTTTGATGGTAAATTATAATCCATGACAATGGCATTGATAAATTCTGATGCTTTACTACCTGGTATATCTATAGCTTTTAATACAGTTGATTTTTGATCAAAATGTGTAAAACCGAATCGAGTAATTCGTGTTATAGTAGTTGATTTACTTGTTTTAAATGAACTAACAATATCTTTCCATGAATTGGCTACAGATGAAAGAGCTTGTGATAAGGCAGCAATTTTAGCTGTTATAGTTCGTGATTGAGATTCATCATTATTCGTTTGTTTGTCTTCCGGTGAAATAATTCGAGGATCGAAATATGATAACAGACGATACTGTTTTGGATTAAATACACTACCACCGATGAAACGTAAAATATTCAATACAATATTGGTTGTCGTCAATTGCCATGGCGTAATCAATTTTGGAATTTCTTCATTTAAAAATTGACCATTATCTGTCAATATTGCTGTACGTGCAATATTTAATTGATTATTTAAATTCTCTTCACTACAAGATGTGCTATTATTTGTATTATTGCATAGTAATGTTTGAATAAGTGCTTGTGAAGAGATATTTAAATGAAGAAAATGAATTGTATAGGTTGTATTATCATGATTTTGACCAATTATCCAAATATATTTTATTGTAGTATTTTTCTTATCATAACCAGTAGAGGATGTTGTAAATAAGTTTTCATAGGAAAATCGTGACGATTGTAATTGTTGTAAAAATTGTGAATTCGACGAAAAATCGTCAAATGCATAGTCTTCTGACAATGCTTTTAGCAAATTGAGAATATGCTTATACTCAACTTTGGCCATTTTTAATGTTTGACTGGATAGTTTCAATGATGTAAAATTAGATTGTAATGCAGTTAAAATTGAATCATTATATGATGCCAATACTTCAGCTTGAACATTCTTATTTGAAAGAAAATTTTCAATTGCTTGTGTCAAATCAACACTACGAATATCATCATCATTGTTCACTATTGTACGTTGCACTGCCCTACTCAATTGTTGTTGATTGAACCAAATGAATTGATCGGCTGTCATTTTTTGTTTCACTATGTTCAATTCTTCCGGTGTAATGCCACGTTCTGGAATTACAGTGTTACAGCAACAATGACCTGTCCATAAACATTTGGAACATCGTTCACAATTCTCATAGGGAGGATCGTATAACTTTTTGACTATTCCATTTGTATTTATTGTAACGTATGCAACAGATACTGGTATATTTGGATCTGCTGGAGAAGCAATCCTCTTGGCTACAACAATTAATGATGTTAACGAAGCACTTGATTGAATATCAAATATAAATGCTTGAGCCGTATATGAACCTTCATCAGCAGCTGCTATCAATAATTTTACATTTTGAATAGCTTGATTACGAAATTGTTGTGGTATTGACCAGTTTTCCATAATTGTAGCTATATTTGAACTTCCAACTTGAGCTTGTCCAATTGACCCATTAGTCGTGGTTGGATTGATAAAATTTGCCCAATTAGCTGAAATATATCAGAATTCAATAAAAGAACATTTGTGATTTTTCAAAAAAAGATCTTACCAGGTGTCGGAACATTTAACACTTCAGCAGCTTGTTTCATTGGTATCCAAACATCATCTGATTTTGCATCGAGCCGTATCACTGATGATACAAAAGCATTGACCACCTTGCATTCCGTCAGTAGAAGCAACGTCAAAAGAGCAATGAACATTTCTTTCATAGTTTATCTGAAAAACAAACGAAAGTGTTGAAACTCAGAATCATTTTTAAAGAAGTTGGATTTTAAATTTCTATGGCCAATCAAGTCTGATCCTGTTGTTGAGCATACAAGCCAACGAAAAATAACCAAATGCATGGGATATTCAATGCAAATTGCATAATTGATCGTTTTAGTACTTCTCTTTTGATTATAAGTGAAAAGCATAGTACCAAATCCGACAGCAATCAGATTAGATATCTGTTATTAGTCTTCAAGTAATAACGCTAAGAAATTTTTCGTATTGCTTTACAAAATAGTATGAAACTTGATAGCAAAAGATCCCAATTTGATACATAGTCTGAAGAATGAAGAGAAAACCTGCTTGTTGTGAAATCATAGAACTTTTCAAGAGGTTAACAAAGAGTGATCTAATTAATGCGGAGTCTCTTTGTGGTCAATAAGGAATGAAAATAAAATATTAATAGAACGCAAACGTCATTGTAGTACTTCGGAATTGTTGATACCTCATTTTCACGGATTTTCTCTTCTACACTAAACCATTCACGCTTACGTTGTCTTACGTAATTATGCGACGAATCTCTGAAAATAAATTGAAAATCGAAATGATGAAAACTGTCTAGAATTTATGTAGGACCGTGCCGATAAGAGGCACGTGATCTTCTGCATTTCGAAACGTTTGGCTTTTTACAATGAAATACAGCCGTATTTCGTTGTTTGTTTGCACGACGGACTGCTATGAAACAAGTTGATTGATTGTTCGATCCTCATGCATCTCTGGACTCAAGAGGTACTTGCATGGCTATCCTATACAAGCGGATTGCTTCGAATCAAACTTTATTTACGAATCTGTTTGGTCTTTTTTTATCGAAGATTAAGCCTATTGCACTATGGCTTTAATTCACTCTCATATGAGAATGATAGAAAATCTGGTACTTACATATTGATGGTGAGTATACACTGTTTTTGCAAACTTACCGTCGTATGACAAGAAGTTTTGATCAAATATCTCACCTTAGTCTTTAATAGAGACTCAGTATATATATATATAGAGGAATATATTGGTAATTTGGCAAAAGTCAGTTTGATACTGCTTCTATGCATTTAACGAAGTATTTATATACTTCTTTGGTGCATTTTATCTCATAAATATGACGCAAATATTTTTACATACGCAAAAGAACTAGTCAAATTTCTGAAAATACTCTCATTCGTCATTACAGATCACTTCTGTTTTTCTGGTGAGCAAAATTCCAGTAAACAATGATTTCGTATGCAATTTTTTTCTTGGAAATTATCAAAATTGATTCATATTAGTCGCTGTAAAATCAAAATGTGTCTTTCATTTCGAATATTCGTTCTTATCTATGATTATTTGTCTTCCTTTTTCGTGATTTGGGGTGACACTTTATCTTTATTTTACTTGGAAAAAATAAAATAAAGTAAAGTAAAGCAATTGACTTTACTTTACCCGATAAAGTAAAGGGAAGTAACTTTACTTCATCAGTTTATTAAAGTAGGTCTACTTTATGCGAAAAGTTAAGTAAAGTAAAGTGAATTATATCTTCATTTATCAGAAAAGTAGGATGAAGTAAATAAAGCATTTAGTTGTTGAATATTGATTTATTTGCTCATCATCACACATTAATCACTTTCGGATGCGTCAATACCAATTGTGTCAAATGATGGTTTGATGACCACAAAAAATCTGAACCTAATTTTGTTAGCTTGCGAATCGATATCGAACTTTGATTATTTTGCATAATTTCATTTCCTATTTTATTATCCAATTTATCATATCTCCAATTCCCTCAGTCATCGAAAAAACTCGGTATCGTCGTTCTATTACCAGCCTTTATGATTCGATAGCATTAATTATCTTTATTACAAATATCTCATTTTATTTTCAAAAGCACTGAGATAATAAGAAAGATTTGAAGCATTCTCTGAAAGGCTTCAAAATCAGTTTTCGATCTGAAAATTCATTGAAATGCAGTTTATTATCGTCAAAAGTAGGTTCATTCGATGTAGATTTTCTTTCTCTATCAGAATACCTAAGAATCTATTGAACATTTAGTTTTGTTCTATCACTAATTGGTAAATACCTGGCAGATTGAATCATATTGTCTCTCATAATAATCTTTCAAGCCTCGTGAAATTATTATTAGTAAAGGTGCACCAACAATTTTTTAGCCAAATATCTAATGCAATACTTTCGAGTTGACATCCGATATTTAGTAGAGCCCTTTTGCTCAAAACCATATACTTAAGAGACAATTTATATCTGTTTTGATTAATATTCGATGCTTTTCAAATAGTAAACTCCTATTTGATTTCAGAGAAATGTCATATTTGAAATCAGTACAACAAATTGAGCCGATTAATATTAGTTTCAATTTACTTTTGCAATTTGTGTTTTCAGGCAAATTTAGATCCGCGGTCCCATTCCAGAGTATAGGAAGAGATAAATTTTATTTAATATCCGTTTGAATAGTGGAAATGTATATCAGAACATTTAAATATCAATTTGAAGGTTAAAGCAGAAGTGTTTGGTTATATAAATGATTGTTTTAATAAAATTCATCTTTCGATATATTTCTGATGGGAAAGTTCAGGGTCCGAACTGATGGAAATAGTTCCAAAAACAATTTGAAACCCATATAGATAGACTCAAGCTTTCATGCTGATTTCAAATACTACATTTTGATCAAATCAAATGAGGTTTTTCTAATCGGAAATTATAGAACATTAGTTGAAAAAGACACAAATTGGCTGTGAAGTATAGATTTTTCAGCAAAATTACTTTGCTAGTTATCGAATTTCAGATCGAAAATACTTCCAATAGAATGAGCGCATTGCATTATATATTTGATTAAAATCTAATCGGTGTATCTTCACTAACTATAATTTAATAAGGTTTAAAAGATTAGTATGAGTGTCAATAGCATTCTATAAGGGGTGGAGCCTCATCTTTACTTCAAGGAGTAAAGCAAATTATCTTACTGTATTTTACCGATAAAGTAAAGTACAGGGTAGGTAAAAAATATTTTTGTAGGGTGTTATGGTATCATTTCAAATAGCATCAATAACAGACTTTATATCCGGTGTGGGTGTGGGTGTGGGTGGGTGTGGGTGTGAGTGTGTGTGGGGTGGGCGTGGGTGTGGACGTGGGTGTGGGTGTGTGTAGGTGTACGTGTGGGCGGGTGTGAGTGTGGGTGTGGGTATGGGTGCGGGTGGGTGTGGGTGTGGGGGTACGTGTTGATGGGTGTGGGTGTGGGGGTACGTGTGGATGGGTGTGGGTGTATGGGTGTGATCGTGGTGGCGGATCTTCTCTTCACCCACCCCCAGACCCACACCCTTCCAATTTACATTTTCATTAGTTTTTGTCTGCTAAGATTCAAAATTTAGGAAAAATTTATTGATGATAACCTGATTCATGGCTTTGAAGATTTTCTATTCTATGGTAGATTTATATAATACATAGGCAATAATTATATTGATTTTATGAAACATTTCTTGTTTGATTGTGCTGAAGAAACACCAAATGAAATAACTATTCATTGTTTTAATTCGTAGCTTTCGAAAGTTGAAAATTTCATCTTCTAGGAACCTGTCAACTAAAAGGGTCTAGATAAGTGGAAATAATCACTATGAAGTATTAGCTTTATATATACAAAATGTTAATTTAATAGCTGCAATCATGAAAATAATTGCTCCTGAATACCTTGTCCTGACTATTATATCTTATACTTCCTTTATCATAAGTATAACATGTACTATAGGTTTGAAAATTGATTTTCTTTAAACAGAATTTTCGCAGAAAGTAAAATCCATATGAATCATCAATATTCTTTCAGAAGATTTTCCAAGTTCAGATGCTGATATGAAAAATCATTAGAGAGTGTGAGAGTGGGTATGGTTGAAGGGAATACACATACCCACACCCACACCGACACCCACACACCCACCCACACTCACACCGACACCCACACACCCACCCACATCCACACCAACACCCACACCCTCTTATGGCGAAATACCAGTATTTTGGGTTTTCAAAAACACAGATTGACTATGGGAAATATAATTATACTATTGGATAGAGCTCGCCATGTTGTACTTGAAATACTGACTAGGAGCTCTAGAACAGGCTTTTGGATGAATCGCCGCTGAAATTATTTGAATCGGCTACTCACTTCACCTAAACTCCGGAAAAATTCTTTTCCCCTCTTTCTTTCTATGCTATTATACTTTGCATCAAATTTATTATCAAGTAGAGATATGGCTTGAGAGTTTTATTGCATTGTGATCTGTACACCAGACTGAAATAAAACTCTGATGTCATATTTCAACTCGGCAATAAATTTCATGCAAAGTATGATAACACAGAAACATAGAGAGACAAAGAATTTTGTCCATGGCTGTAAATAATGACGTTGTTAGTGAGAAAGAAAAGAAATGCTTCTTATCAGGTTTGAGTAATCACTTTGTTTGCCACTCTGTCAAAGTCAATATAATAAAAAATTTCGTTCAACTTCGTATATAAACGGTGGATCAGCTATGCTGTGCGTTCTTTTATTCGCTTCGCTGAGAGAGACCATTAGCAACACATACGCCAAAAAGCCAGAATAACAAGTGATTCACAAATAAGCAAAGTCGGTAAGTACTAGTCGATCCATCTTCTTTCACAGCGCTCGTATTTGCTTTTCGAAATTCCTAGAGAATGGTTGAGCGCGATGACTCGAAACCTGTAGAAAAGAAATCTTGACTAGAAAAGCAAAATTTATGCTATTCCCAAGAAAATCTCATGCTTCCGTCAGAGTAATATCGATGTTGCAAGTTGTCAAAATGATTCCACTTTTGTGTCCTACTTCCGTTAGAAGACATTCCCCAAGACAGCTTAACCCAGGTATGGAACCAGTAAAGAAAAACTCCTACTAGACCAGTCCTACCGGTAAAGTGAAAACCTATACTGACGAAATAGCGGCAAATATAGGTGAAAATACCAGCCAGTCCAGAAAGTCCTACGCCGGTAGGATACCGTTAAGATACCTGTTATTTGCCGTGGACAAATGTTATTGTTTTTGAGCAAAATATGTGTGAGGTAGAGGTAAAACGAATGTTCTCGGGCGAACTGTTGCCAATTTTGATCGTAGAAGTTGGTAAAAAAGAGAAAGATCGAAAATCCTCATAAGTTTGAAGCTGAATTTTCTCCATCGGTTCTAGCTTTATACAGGTGAAATAACGATCTGTAACGATTCAGTACGATGTTTTTATATCAGACTGAACCGGCACCCATTATAATAGTTACAATCATCGTAAACAATCGTGGATGACCAACTCAGATGACGTATACGGCTGTATAAAGACATGACTTATCGTTTTGATAGTGGTGTTATATCGTCACGTCGTAGACGACCAAAAATTTACAGTTTAGGATCATTTGTGATAGTTTATGATACGATGGTATATGACTATGAGAGGACCATTATTCAAGCTGCAAATGACGGTTCTTTACGGCAGTTTATGGCCGTGCTTATTTGATCTGAACATACTAGCAAACCTGGTATTGATATGTGAGTCCGGGGCTTCGGGTCTGGCTCAAAGATTTTCCCCAAGTGCCTAACACAATTTCTGATGAATCTTCTGGCAAAATAGGTATCGTCTCTAATTTCCCCTTTAAACGAATTATTGTCCCAAGTTATTCTCCTTTTCTGACCCTTTTTTCTTTTTTTGAATTTTTGAGATAATCAACTTCGCAGGATATCTGGAATAGAGAGAGGCGGGAGAGAGTGGATGACGAGGCTTTTTTTGAATTCACTAAGCAGGAAAATCAAGATTCCTGAGGCTCCGCTAACTCAGAGAGAGTCATTCGAAAGTCACCTGGAAAACTCTTGAGTCAGCTGACAGTCACAGAACATGGTTTTTTCCCTGTGCGTGATTCCAAAGTGACTCCCTTGACTATCGACTGACTCCCACGTACTCTGGTGATTCCGAGGTGACTATTACGACTTCACAATGATTCTGGATTCCACAGAGGCCTTACTTTTCGTCGCTTGTTTTCTCCCTGTGGAAGTTAGCCAAAGAATAACTGCCTGGTCGGTGACTCTCCACAGTCCTGGAATCAGGAGGGTCACGAGAATCAGTCAGCATTCAGAGGAGGCTGTGACTTCATGACGTAAATGAATCACAAAAATTCCAAAATTGGTATCAAGTGTATATCACAGCTTTACCAAGTCTACCATGGTCACTGTTCGGCACTCTCATGTTGGCGGTGCGCGTTGTGTGTGTTTCCGTGGTAGATCTTGGTTTTGCAGGACTTATATTGAATTATTTTCTGATTCATATGCGTCAAAAAGGTCTGTAATCACCACTTTTCTTGTAAACGCACGATTACCAGCATAGTTTCGAATCCATTCACCTGGCACATATCTCCTCCTATCAGAACGAATAAGGTAGCATAGCTCTTGAGAAAAATGAGAGGATTTTAAGATAAAAATCAGTAATTCTTATTTTTGATAACAAACAAACTGCGGTCTTCCTGCACCAGGATTTCATGAAGTGATGGAGCTGACTCAATCATTGATTGATGGATTACTCTTGCTGATATGATTCTAAAATATGAACGGAAGATATCCCAGTCAAGAGACCTCATTCTTGAATAGTGATCCGTTAGACCACAAAAATACGTATGAATCGTACTTTTACCATGAATTCCTAGTCGATATGAAAATACTTGTCAGAAGAATACAATAAGACATTCTGCTCCATGTATCCTTATTGTACACTGGAGACTGCATCGACAACATTTCTTCCTCCACATTTCGAAGCTGTCTCTCCCTTTTATTAACTGGTGTGCAAACGACATCGAGGACATTTCATAAATTGACCACTATGAGACTTGGTAGGCTGAATGCTAATAGTTCCCGATGGAGGATAGTAACTTTTGTGCTTAAGAAGAAGACAAGCAACTGAATACCCTAAGAAATATCAGCATTCATTCCTATCGTATGGTATGATTTTGCGACGATATTGTTGAGACCCATACTTTTATCATAGTGGAGACAATGCAATCGAATCGGTTTGCATTTAAATCCAACTCTAAAAATGTTTCGATATTCTGAGTAATATCGTTTAGCCGACAAATCATCTTCTTATAACAATACACTACCTAATCATTTCGAAAGTCGTTTCATGAATTTTTTGTACACAGCAGGCATACAGAACAACACAAATGATCTCACTAAGAACGATATTTCACTTGGAATTTGTCTAAAAATGGCTGGGTGTGGGTGTGGGTGTGGATGTGGGTGTGGATGTGGATGTGGGTGTGGATGTGGGTGTGGATGTGGATGTGGGTGTGAGTGTGAGTGTGGGTGGATGTGGGTGAGTGTGGGTGTGGGTATGTCCTCTTAGCATCCACACCCCACCCACTCACACCCTCTATCTATTTTAAAAAAAAAGAAATTTTTTTTGTTTACTATAAGGAAATAAAACCTTGACGACACTACTTTTGGATTGCCCTAAGTATTTTGACTTTGTTATACGACTATCTGCAGGCTAGAATGTTATTTTCTGTACGGAAAGAATAATTAATCATTCTCGAAATTTTCTTTTAATATGTCGAAGATATATCTACTTGAACCGTATAAACAATTTATAAAGTCCGTTGTATCTTCCTAGATAAGTTTTCCTCAAAGTACATTAATATCCAATTTCGAAAATTTTTCGCTAAGTACAACATACTCTTATCATTAACATCGATTCTATCTTTCATTGGTATTCGTGATAAATTCATTGCTCTTCTCAATCAATTGTTAAATAGATTGACAGTATATTTGACTGAAGCTGCCAACAATATTGATACAGTTAATATTAATCGATATGATTCAACTAATGTGTATATTAATAAAGCATAAAAACACTCAATGCAAATAAGTTTGACTTATTCTTTCTTCTCGCATTCTGATGAGAAAAAAACAAGTGACCAGCAGCTCAGATATAATACCGAAATAAAAGTGAATTCTTTTGCCGATAGTCGTCTCACATATTATTAGAGCTATAAGGATTGAATAAAAATGACATCTTATAAGAACTAGAAATTCAGTTTGTGTAAAAAGTACGTTTGTTGGCACCTTTTTGTTGCCGTACGAGATATATATATAATATATGCCATCAACAAACAAAAATAAAAGAAAAATGAACAGTAAGAGAAAAACAAGTACATAAGAGAAATTATGGTTTGAATGAAAGAAAGACAGATAGACAGAGAGAAAATGTCATATTTTTTACTGTCAGATTGGATGATCATCGATATATGTTAACACAAATAAAAGAAGTAGAAAGTGAAAGAGAAAAATTGAAACGCACAATTACTACTGTTCTTCAGTTTCATTTATATTGTCGATACCAGATTCATCACTAGTCCATAGCTGCAAAATTCAAACAAGAATGAGTTCTTGTATAAAGAAAATTTCAATACATGAATACTAACAGCGATATTGTCTCGGAGCAGCTGCATAATGAGAGTACTGTCTATAAGTGGATAAGAAAAGAATTTAATTTTATCGTTGGTTATTGATCAATGACCTTTCCTCTTACTTTTGTAAGATTGTTCATCGATTGAATCTAGTTCGACCAAAGCATCATCAAAGGCCTAAGGAATTGAGTATTTAGGTGAATAAAAAAAAAACAAAATGCATTGAATTGAACAAACCTGTTTGGCCAAGCGACAAGCTACATCCGGTTCGTTACGAATTTCGTAATAAAAGACAGAGCAATTTAGAGCAAGACCAAGTCGAATTGGATGCGTTACTGGCATATGATTCTTGGCCATATCGAAAGCATTCTTGTAGGCATCTTGCGCTTCTTCAGCCATTTCTACAATCAATATCAATACAAATATTTGTTTTTAAGAAGAATTCAACACATTACTTTGTCGTTCATTATCGATGGCTATTTCAGCTAAATATCGATAGTAGTCACCTTTCATCTTGCAATAAAATACTTTCGATTCGGCTGTTGTCGCTTTTGGAATGAGGTATTGATCAAGCAAAATCTAAATTGACACATCTTTGTAATAGAACAATCGTTTACTAAGTGAGTCTTACCAAAAGCTCGTGACATTTGTCGTTCAATTCACTTTCAATCTTTTTGCGATATTCCTTGACCATTTGTCGTTCATGTTCGGAGCTTTCGACTTTCTGTTCAAGGGCCGACATAGTTCGCAAAGGTATTCGGTAAGTACCGATCACATTCTTGTAGGCAACCGAGAGCAAACTGCGCTCTTCATTTGTTAGTTCACTATTCGATTCAACGACTTTTTTCATAGCAGTCACCATATCATTATATCTAAATGAAACTTCACATTACCTGATTGAATACATTATGTGAACAAAAGGTTTACCGTTCTGCGTGTTCAGCTAATTTTGCTAGTTCCACTTGTTCATCTTTGTTCGTCATTGTTCTTTCACGTTGTTTGCCTTGATCGCTTGTTCAGTGAGATCAGTGGCTAGAACAACAGTTGCGTAAAATAGGACTTTCGCAGATTGGTTCTTTATAAAGGCACAAGATACAACAATACACTGTTTATTGAAAAAGCTTCAAAATATCTCGTTTACAATCGAACAAGATGGAAGCTGATTAGTTGCCCGTATATTCAATCAGTGAAGACGTAGTCCAAGAGAAGAGATATACTAATGTGAGCTAAAAGAAATGCCAAAGGTATTTATACATTTCCCTCCCTCTCTCTTTTTCTTCTCTCTTTATGCGTCATATTTTCATCATAAGTATTTGCACGTGACACCAAGCAACAAGGAATAACGAAACTTAGGCTAGACATGGAACAGAATAGAACGATAGTTTGATTAGTCATCCGCATGCACAGAACGAACATCGGATGGCGTGCAAAATATATTGTGTGACGCAGCGTCATTGCTTAGTGACTGACTATGACAGATTTTATTTCAACATGTCATAAAAGAGGACGTTAGTGTAACATACATTTTTTTAATGAAATATCTTCACGACGATTATGAATCTTTCTTCTATTATGGTAGGAAAATTATTTATCATTATTGAATATATGTGCTGATAGCAAGATAAGAATGCAATATTGCAGACTTTTTTCTCATAAGAAAACTTAGTCATCTAATAAAGGAGTGCTTTCATAATATGGAATTTTTCATCTAACGGGGGAATATTCCCAAGTGTAAAATCGCTTTTGAGTCGAGAGTATGAACATAAGGTAGATCTCGGTGAGATATGAAAAATTCCAAAAGGATAAGTGCCATTAGGCCTTCTGTCCAGAGTTATAGGCATTTTACTGAAATTTTAGCCTCTGGCATACTAAATACCAACCGAATCGAATGTCGGTATTCCCATCTGAGATTTTGTCCACAGGCAGATCTAGTTGTGAATAGGATACTCTGAAAATTTCAGCTCAAAAGAATGTTTCCTTCTCGAGATATTAAAGCCCCCAAAAAACAGAAAATTCTAGCATCTTCCGTGCTATATGAGTGATTTTTGGGACTTTAATATCTCGGGAAGGAAACATTCTTTTGAGCTGAAATATTCAGGTTATCCTATTCATAACTAGATCTGTCTGTGGGCAAAATCTCAGGTCGAAATATCGACATTCGATTTGGTGGTATTTACTATGGAAGAGGCTAAAATTTCAGTAAAGTGCCTATAACTCTGGACAGAAAGCCTAAGGGTACTTATCATTTTGGGGTTTTTCATATCTCACTGGGTTCTATCTTATGCTCATACCCTCGACTCAAAAGCGATTTGACATTTGGGAATGTTCTCTCGTAAGCTCATTTTATATATGATTCGTTATCATAGGAATATCGGTCACTTCTGAATTATCGATCAGAGATATAGGACTTTCTATTTTTACAGTCGGAAGAAACGTTATAAATACTTTATGTATCTTTGAAAATTCCATCAAACAGTTCACATTAATTTCTCTCTATATGGAAGATATTAACTCAGATATGACTGATATTTCTACCGCCGATAACTTTCAACAACAGGATGTTGTAAAGAAGCTTTCAATTTATTGAAATATACTCTCAAATGGATGATTTCAGTTGCGTCGATTCCGTTATAATAATTGTTCAGTCTTCTTATATAAATCACTACAATAGAGTTTTGAAGGATATTTAAAATTCAATTAACATCAAATGTTACTTAACCGTGAAGGTACAAATTTAATATTCGGTTGACATCAATCTTCTGCGATCAAAAGGAACATATCTTGTACAAGAAAAAAGCTAAGAGTATATACATATCATGAATCAATAAAAACTTACAAGGTGCACGTTGTCATAGATTCTTTCCCGAATGGTATTTTTGATAGAAATGCGAACTTCATGTCAACAATCGAATATGAGTTTAGATAAATTAAATACGCCTCTTCTATCATCACAATATTATTCAATGGTGCAACCGACCGATTCATCTACTAACTCATTTGGACTCACATCTGATCACTCTATTGAAGTAACATTATATCAAAATGATAAGAAAAAAGCTTCAAATTTTGTTAAAAGAAATGATCTCGACAGTTGTTGTTGCTTCGATTTAGAATGTCTACAATGTTCTGCAATTATTCTAGAATTTTTATACTGTTGTTGTATGTTTATTCAGTGTTTAAGTAAATGTAAATGAAATAAAAATTGAAAACATATATTAGAAATCATCAATATCGATAAGCAGATTTTTTTCTGACTCTCGCTTCTACAATTTATCGAAAGCTCAAGATACATTCTGACGACTATCTATTACAAAGATTAGAAGAAAGCAGCAGACTTCAAGTAGAAAAGTATATCAAAGTATAAAAGTGCTGCAGAGTGTCCTCATAAATCTGGAAATGCACGAAAAAAAACCTAAAGAACGTTGAAAGAATATGATTGATTGCTTTATTCAGGTTTTAAAAAAAAGACAGTAATCATTAGTAAGAGATAAACAACCGAGAGCAGTAAGTTTACTAATTATTATCAGCTGTTTATTGCATGATATGAAATAAAATACCATTTGATTATTTTGTTATCTTGTTGGATTGTAGTCGCCGAGCCGATTGTTTGTGAAGATACTTAATATTCTCATTTATTTTGACCTTGAAATACACACAGGTGGATCATTCCGGCCGTCGGAAACGGCGTCGTATCCGGCCTGAAACGACTATAAAACGGCGAATTACTGCAGTCATTTTGGCCTTATTTCGCCGTAATCCGTCATACATTAGAGAAAATCAAGAAATAGTTCAATCTAGTAGAGAAGTACTAATCGTCTATCGAGGAATGAAATTGACTAGTGATCAAATAGAGAAATTCAAAGAGAACGAAGGTAAATTGGTATCAGTCAATGGATTTTTGATAACAAATATCCATCGTTCAACTGCATTAAACCAAGCAATGAAATTCCCGAAACAAACTGATTTTGTTTCTGTTCTCCTAGAAATTCAATGCAATCTAAAACATCTGAGGAATAGCGTCATTGTCGCTGATCTCATTCAATTTAACGAGTTTCCATGTGAAGAACAAAAAGAAATTCTCTTCAATTTCAATGTGACTTTTCGATCGAAGAGTGTACGAATGATGGAGAAAGGCATATGGTTGCTTGAAATGATTGTATCGGATGAAGGTCAAATTATTAAAGAGAAATATATTAAAGATTCACGTCGTCAAATCGGAGATCTAAGTATTAGAATTCTCTTTGGACGATTGATGTGTGATATGGGTCAATGGAATCAATCACAACATTTCTTTCAACAGTTACTGAACAACTCCAATAGCTACAGTGAAGATATTGCAAAAGTTGAATATAGTCTCGGTGAAGTACTTCAATGGAAAGGAGAATGGAGTGAAGCACGTAAATATTATGATTATGCTTATGATCGGATGATCACTGTAAAACCAACACAAACCAAGGATATAGCTAATGTACTTTATAAAATTGGTGAGATTCTTTATCAAGAAGGAAAGTATGAAGAAGCTCGTGATTATTATGAACGAGTATTTGCAATGAGAAAAGAAAATTATTCTTCTGTTGAGATCGATAGGTCGTATTCATCAAATCAGAAACGCAGAAATGTGTTGAGTCGTGTTCGTGCGTCGTTCCGATTGGTTTCATCGAGTTCTAACAGATTATTTCAATCATATTCTTCATGGCTTCGAACTAGAGATTTTCGACAAATCTCTCATTGGTTTCATTCGAAACAAGCGGCCAACAGAATGGAGTTCAATGACGAGCACTTGCACAAAACTCAATTAGAAGAAATTTGTCGAAATGTACAAGAAACTGGTTGGTTACAATTAAGTAAGACTCACATTGATGGTTATGTGCCTATTGCTATGTGTCTTCTTAGCTTCGGCAAAATCCTTTCTCAGCAAGATAAGTATGATGAAGCACTTATCTTTTATAAACAAGCATTAACAATGCTCGAAGAATATTATCAATGTGTTCATATTGATATCGCTGTTATTTTCAACTATATTAGTCAAATTCTAATATATCAAATGAAGTTCACGGAAGTACTCGATTTTTGTCAACGAGCAATGTCAATCTATGAAACATATTATCCAAATGGTCATGTATACATCGCCTCAATTCTCAACTACATCGGTTACATTATCTATCGAGAAGGTAAGCATGATGAAGCTTTGAAAATTTATGAACGAGCATTGGCAACACAACAAAAATATTATCCATCTGGTCATGTCGATATAGCTAATCATCTTTGTGGGATAGGACATGTTCACTATGGACGGGGAAAATATAACGAAGCTCTCATATTTTATGAAATAGTACTAGAAATTCAACAGAAATATTTTTTTTCTGGTCATGACGCAATTATTGCTACCCTCAATAATTTGGGCTATGTCCTAAAGGAACAAGGACAGTATGACATAGCTCTTGATTTTCATCGACAAGCACTAGCACTTCTGGAAAAATACTATCCATCTTACTATGCAACCATCGCTAACACTCTCAATTACATCTCTAATGTACTACTTTGTCTATCAAAATATGATCAAGCTTTATGTTATTGTCGACGAGCACTAAAAATGCAAGAGAGTTATTATCCTTCTGGTAATGCTTCAATAGCTTCAAGTCTCAACAACATTGCCATCATGTTCTATATGCAAGGAAAGTACAATGAAGCTCTTGATTTTAATAGACGAGCACTAGCAACTGTTGAAAAGCACACCCCATCTGATTATTCCTCTATTGTTTTTTATATGAATGAAATTGGGATTAGATTACACAGTCAAAACAAGTGTGATGAAGCGCTTGATTATCATCGACGAGCACTCGAAATACAAGAAAAATATTGTTCATCTAATCAACGTGATATAGCCAATAATCTCAATTACATCGGTAATGTTCTTATTAAACAGAAAAAATATGATGAAACCTTGAAGTTTTATCAACGTGCACTCGAAATGCAAGAGAATTATTATCCAAATGGTCATGTGGATATTGCAGTAACCCTCATTAGTATTGGCACAACGTTTTGTCAACAAATGAACTTCGATAAAGCAATCGAGTATCATGAAAAAGCGTTAGCAATTCAAGATAAATATTATCCATCAGGTAGTATCTTCACAGCTGATACCATCAATCGTATCGGTCACATTCTTTACGACGGAAAAAAGTATGAAGAAGCAATTGATTATTACCGACGGGCACTTTCAATGCAAGAGAACTTGTATCCTGATGATCATATCGAAATTTCTCGTACTTTCAGCTTTATTGGTAACATATTATATGAACAAAAGAAGTACGAAGAATCACTTCAGTTTTATCAAAACGCTCTAACTATTCAAGAAAAACATCATGATTTTGCTTATGAAGACATCGCAAAAACTCTGAACTTCATTGGAATTGTTCTATATCATCAAGCAGAATACGATGAAGCTCTCAATTTTTATAATCGAGCACTGACAGTTTACAAGAAACATGCGTCGAGTCATAGGTATACTATTACTTGTCTGGAAAACATAGCTGAAGTTCTACAAAGACAAAGAAGATATGGTGAGGCTCTGGATTTTCGACAACACGCATTGACACTTCTTAAAAGTAACTCACCTGTTGATCTATTCGGAATCGCTAGTAGTCTTAAGAACATCGGTAATAATCTGTTTCATCAAACAAAATTTGATGAATCTCTTGACTTTTATCAAAAAGCATTAATCATATTCGAAGAACATTACCCCAATGATCATACTGAAATTACTAATTGCTTATCCTGGATTGTTGCTAATTTCAATAGAAAATTTGAATTCGACCTGGCTATAAAATATTTGGAAAAATGGCTATTGATTGAAGAAGCTAATTCACCATTAAAAAATCTTTCCATCACGAAAATATTTACATGGTTGTCACAGATCCAAACAGCAAGAGACCAACATGAACTCTCGCTTATATATGAACAGAATTGTTTCTTGGTACGTCTCAAAATTTTACCACCTGATAATGAAGACATTGGACATAGTTTATCCAATATAGGTAAGACTTACGAAAAGCTTCATAAACCTATGTTGGCACTTAATTACTATCGACAAGCTTTAACTATCTACAAGAAATGTCTACCTGACTGCCATGATCATATATGGAGGATGGAACTGAATATTGAGCGACTTTTGGATGAACTT